TCTGAAAACAGGTGACCCCCACCTCCTTCTTTTGCAAATATCTCGACTTTTATTCAAGATAAATGGATATTTTTAGCACCCAAATAAAGACAAGTGAACAAGCTTTAAGATGATACCAATAACTCTACATGCCCAAAAATTGACGAGAGCCTGATTCCACCACGCTGACTCACAAATGCATAATTTCTATTTTTGCAACATACAATGGACATAACGAAGGCGGGCCAAATTTGCCGTTCCTGTTTGCCCATAAGACGTTACACGCACGTCCCACTCTCATGTGACTAGTTCTTCTGTACAGAGTTGTAGCCACGAGCACAGCAGTAAGAGTCCTTGGAAACTGCAAACATAAATTTGTTGTATGTGCCTTTAATCAACGTTTTTCCATCAAAGCCACACATAGAAGTGTTTTTGAAAGGACGTACAAGGTGTTGACAGTTGAGCCCAAATAACAAAAATTTGAAAACAATTTCCAAACTGCCAAAAAAAGCTGATTTCTCGGATTTTGTTATTTTGACAAGAGCCTGATTTCACCACGATGCCTCACAAATAGTCACCCACTGACTTACCAGATGAAATAGTCACCCACTGACTTACCAGGTGAAATAGTCACCCATGAAAAACACAAAAAGACAAATACACGATGTGGCAAAATGAAGGACCAAGGACATGAAACAACAAAAAAACCAAAAACCCCCAAAAAGGAACTTACCCTCGCAGGAGGTCAAAGTTGGTGTCCAGACTCCGCTGTAGGTCGAGAAGTTTTTCTCTCAGGTCAACTGCCACTTCTGACACCACTTTCGCTCTGTGGGGGGGAGGGGGAGAAAAGTTTAAATATTTTGGATCAGCTGAGCATCAATAATGTATTTATGGAGGCACCAGTTTTAGTCTACATCTTGGAGATAACATCAAATCTGACAGCAAATGTACTACAGCAACAAAGGAAAACATTGTAAAAGCTAAAAACAGTTTCAATAAAACCAGTTCCATCTAAATGATAGAAACAGCCCCCCAGAAAAGAAAGGGGATCTTTAAAATCTCTATGCTCAGCTGCCAACTTTCAAAAACCCCCCCAAAAATCACAACCCATGAGACGGGTCAAGATAATGGTTACTGTTGGCTACGTTTGCAAAGTAACCCCCTCCAAACCCTTCACACACACTTTTCTGCATTCAAGAAATTCAAAGTAGACCTGCAGCTATCATTTACGTTTGGTCAACCCTTCTGTGTGGCTGAGAATGCTAAGTAGCCCCCCCCCCCCCCCCTCGGAGATAAAAAGTTAAGGAAGGAAAAGAAATCAAACAAGTGTGTGTTGAAAAAAATCTGCATGAGACAGTCACTTATACATATTTTTTTTAAATCAGGAAGAAACGAATAAATAATATCCCAGGTCACATGACTTACTCGTCTGAGGCGCTCGGCGCGGCGTTCGCTGCTTGTACGTTCCATAGGTCTGTTCCCACGGCGGGGTCGCTCAGGGGTCGCGTCGACTCCATCGTACCCTCACAGGGACCCAACGTTCCCGGCCAGGACGACGAAGACGCTGCCGTCTGACCAGACTCGAACCCAGACTCCTTCACAAACTTGAGGTTAATCGTTCGGCCCAGCTGTGGGGGAAAAAGTGCGGTGAATTAACAAGATGGCCGACATGGTATGAGCGTGTGCTCTCACAGGTATTGGACAACGTCGTTGCTTCATGACAATGTGTACAAGGGGGGCTGGGTAAGTTCTGTGGGATCGTCTTTACTCATTTACTCAAGGATGTACTAGAGAGACAAAGAGAGAGAGAGAGAGAGAGAGGGTGAGGAAGAGAGGAAGAGAGAGAGAGAGAGAGAGGAAGAGAGAGAGAGAGAGAGATGGTGAGGAAGAGAGGAAGAGAGAGAGAGAGAGAGGAAGAGAGAGAGAGAGATGGTGAGGAAGAGAGA